ACACTTTCACTAAATATGTTTTATCAACTGCAGCATAATAAATGACAATAGATAGAGAGTATGGAACGTTTTGTGTGTTCACCCAATTAAACAGCACTAAAACGATCCCTAGGCTATCCCACTGATTCATCCTAATTCATTCCTGAACTGAATAACTATGTCCAATCAATGGAATCAACGAAACCAAATAATTTACAACTTTTGAGTTGTTATCTAAAGGCTGATCTTGATTAATCGAACTTACTCTTTCTAAAATGGACAACAGAAGGAAAAAAGAAAACCAGGTGGCTTGCAACACTGCAATCGAAGGAAAGAGAAAACTACGACCATGCGGATGTGACACGTAAACTGTAGGGAGGTTGAATTTTTGGTAAGATCAATCATACGGCGGGGAAAAGCGCGGCCCAGATTGATAACTGAACAAGTGAAATTCAAAAGGCCTACTAATGACTGGAGTTCCTTTAGCAACATTTCACGACATTTATCAAAGGCGTGTGACAACATGCGGCATTTTTGAAGCTTGTCGTCTGGCAATCAGGCGTCTGTTTGACCGTATCAAATGAAAGATATTTGCACAAACGAAGAAAATTAGATAAGTCAGCCTGACATTTAAGTATTAATCACTATTATCATTATTTTCGTGAAGTGGAAAATTGGTTACTTACAGTGCTTATGTTATTTGACTGTGTGAATGTTATTGTTTGTGTACATGTACCAGCAGTAATAACAATGATGTTAAAAAAAATTTTTGCCTCCTCTTTTTCAGATAAGCATGGGTATTCCCTGACAATCTCACGGACAGGTGTACTCTCCTCATTGATATATGCTCTTCTAAATGCATAAGTTGCTTCCATTTTTTCCTTTATCTTTTTTTTGTCATTCTCTAGTTATTTTTACTCCTTTTGCAACCAGGTCATATGTATTTTGTTCGATTCTTCATTTATGCCAATGTTTACATTTCGTGATTTATTGTCAAAACCGTTATGTGGAGTACACTGACCAAAAGGGTTCGGTTTATCAACGGGAAATATGTTTCCTTCATCACATGAAAGCCTTGTTTTATGGGAAAATTTTCAACGGAATTGAAGGGAATATTTACCATCAAAGAATGTAGCCACAAGTGAAATTCCAGTTTGTGGCTAATATACGTGCAATGACGTACTGTGCCTAAAAATCAATACATGATCTGCAGTTGTCTTCCGTCAATAAAAAGTGAAGTTTACTTTTCAGGCTTTTAATCCGGGGAAAGTGAATATCACTCATTCGAGATAAGTTAGGTGTATCTATGTGCTTAGAGAGCCTTTCTCTTATACTACGAAGTTTTTCCTCATTCTTTTCAGCTACGATGCAGTTGTAGCAGGCAACGTCAGCACAGGCTGCCAATTGTGTTTTTTTATTCACGTTGTAAACAATTTCTTTTCTTCCTCTCGTTTTTATTTAGTATTTTGTTTCTGGGTTTGTTTGATTCAAGCGAAACAAGACAAGGAGACTCCTAGTAATTTCTGTGTCATCTACTGATGATTGTTGATTTCAGCACAGCTGCTATCCTTTTTCCAAGATGATAGGTTTACGCTGCTTTTGTGTGATCATGAAGGTGTGCTGGATAAATAAAATAGTTCTTAAATACCTGCACCACTGCAAAAATTCAGGTAGTGGGGTTGGCTTTGATGGATGCTGATGTTTGTTTGGCAGTAAAGGCTTGGCTGTTTCACGAGGTAGCAGGGATGGCTTTGTTGGATACTGAGGTTTGATTGGTCATAGAGATTGTGTGGAGTACTTGTTGTGCTCATTTGGCTTGATGCTGCTCTGGTTCTTTTGAGGGTTTCTTTCCTGATTTGAGTACTAGGGACTTTTATGTCCATTAAAAGTGCAATTCTTGCTATGTCGAGAATACCCGAAATTAACCATGCTACGATAAGAAAAGTCAACTGGCAGACCTACGGAAATGTGCTGCGCCTGTTTGGCTACAAATACTCCACAGTCATCACTGTTGAGTTGTTTTGGTATGTCAGAGGAGGGAATTCCAAATTATTTCCAGTCGTGCATGTCCCAGTTCCTTTCCAATAATAGATGCCAAAGGGGTAAAAAAAAATTGCATTCTTGAAATTGCCATTTTGCACCTGCGCCATTATATAGGGAGTCCAAGTATATGGACATCGTCTCTTTCATGCTCACTACAACCAGACACCAGTACCTACCATGGTTAAATGGTGCGAGAATGACCTCTGAATCCTAGGTGTTGGAATACAATTGGTGAAAGTTATATCTTTTGAATGTTTCGTTCAAAGATGTTATCATTCTTGGAAGAAGTCCGAGTTAAGGGTTCTGTTCTGACAGCTGTGGTCTCTTCTATAAGTAAGAAGATCTTATTAAGGACAAAGTTGTTCTCCTCTTTTCTTGTCCTGGCAAAAGTCCACATAGATCTTGCTCTTGCCAACCTTTTGTTCTGGGATGGTCTTGGATGGTACGTCCCATCGTAACAATAAGTTCAGCTTGCTCTTTTCTGCGTCGCATATTGACATGTACTGTAGTCCAGGGCTTCCTTTTGCTGTTTTACAAAGTGCTGCAGCTCGCACGTCAAAACATGGTTCTGTGATGTAAATGGATGGTGGAGTAGCTTGCTAGATTTGGATATTTTCCTTGCAAGGATTTTGTTTGCTGTCAGTTGCTGATTGAAAAGAACACTTCTACTTCAGGGTCATCAGAAGCATCGGCCTTTTCATAAAATAAGAGATATGCTTGTTGACTAGCGGCCTCGAATGCAGTGCATTCTTTGATACAAGCATCATCAGCACAATACCACAACCCATTCCTTTTCATGAAGCACACACAGTGACCTGAAGGTAGACTATTTCCGACGTGCACTACAACAGGGACAAGCCGGTAAGCCACGAAAGCACTTCCTGTTAACCCTGACTTATCCGCTGCATTTACTTTAGTAAGTGTGAGGGTTTCATCATACTTCACTGTTTGCTTGATCTTGATGCCGCTGGAATTGAAACCCAGCAGTTGGAGACAGATGGTGTTAGGTACGTTATTGTTGTTCCCCTTTTTGAAACTTGGAGTTAATGTTGGGAAGCATGCTCATGAGAGTAGCTGGATAAACTAAACCAGGAGCAGCCTCGTATGCAGCGGTGAAGAATTTAGTACTACACGCAATGCAAGATTTTCCTGTGGAATATCAATTATAGCAGAAAAGAATACTTTGGATTGCTGGGGAAGATAAATACAAGTTATTTTGACAAGGAAGACTTTTCTGTGCTGACCACTTGTACTTAATTGGGATACTTCAGAGGGGTGGGGGAGTTACATGGTGTTTTGCTCTGTTTTACCAATGAAGTGGACAACTTTTTCTATTGATTTAATGGTACTTTTATTTCATGTGTAAATTATTGTTTTAAATACAAACAAATATATTTATACACAAGGAACTTGAACCACCCTTCAAAGTGTATATGATATATTTTCAGTATTTCCTCCAGTTTCTGCCAATCGTAAGGTTTTGATAAAGTTCTTTATTGCACTTCAAAATTACAATCAATAATATTATTATAGCAAAAATACTTTAAGGTCATCAATGCTAACTCTAATTTTGGGCTTTAATAATTCCTTCAAATATGTGAACTTTGATACAGGTGCCAAATCTGCGGAATTAACTTCCGTGACGAATTTGTTCCATAGTGGCAATCAAGCTTGGTACATTCCCTTGAGCCTGGATATCTTTAGCCTAGGTAATTTTGCCCCCTCTGCTTTCTGGGTCTTAATTACTTTTGTGGTCTTTTTCTCACTGTCAAGCTTCAATTCCAGCTGGGTTCGCCCAAGTCCAACTGTTATTTCCTTTTCTTGTGCAGAAAAACTTCTTCAACCTCTTCCCTTGCCATACTAGCTTCTCTCTTAATTTTGTTCTGTAAGAAACTGATACTCACTTTTGTAATTTCAATCACTTTAATCCTCAAAACTGGTACAAATCTAAATCTTCACAATTTGGCCTTGAATTCTTGCTTACAATCAACCAAAACCTAACGCAAAGACATGCTGAACAAGCACATTTTAAAAACTAGTCAGGTGATATATATTTATCACGCCATAAAAGCAGTAACAAAATGTTCATGTTATTTTGCATGTAAGTGACTTCAGTAAGGTACTGACAAGTCTTGCTAAGATCAGTGCACCAAGCAGTTCTAACCTTGGTATTGTCTGCTGTTTGATGGGTGCCACTCTCGTCTTTAAAGAAAGCACACGCCGGGTCAGCTGTCGGCATTTTTTAGTCATGCCAGTGTCACCAAAAATGGCGGCCTGGCCGTTGTTATTTTTGGTGAACCTGGGAACTAGTTTACAGCAGTATAAATAGCGCTCAATTTGCAATTTTTGTTCTTCTGAACCCAGAGTCGAGAACTGCAATCTTGGAAACCTCAAACCTTTGGTAAGAATCGTATGTTTTTTGTTTTGGTGATTTCACTTTAGTTTTACAGAATAATGTTTTCATTTATCGGTGTTTTGTATCAGATGCTCGTACAAATTGGCTGGTAGTCAAATAACTGAGACTTATTTTCTGAATCTTCAACACCAGTGATGCCTCAAAAAGGAAAGGATTATGTCCGCTTTGCCGTGGGGCAATACGCAAAGGAAAAATTTAATTTATGTATGAAATCGAGACTGCAGGAAATACCAAGGCTAGCTGGCCTGAAAATACACCCGCACTACAGGCTAGGGATTTGTTTTAATTGAAATATTAAGGTCACATGCGAGATTTTGGAGATTTTTCAGCAAGGTTAACAACAAGCCATTTCCCCTCTGTTAAAAATTTAAGCTAAATCCTTGTATCATACCAAATAATGGGTAACATTTGCAAAAACAATTAAATATTACCATTGAATGTTAAGTTGACATTGCTGCTTAAAGCAGAAACTATGCTTGTCTGCTTTTGGTTGCAAGAACAAGCATAGATCCATTGGCAGCATTCCTCATCTTCTTCTTGTTCCTCCTCCTCAGGTATTTTATTAAGTACTTGGTTCCTGGACACTGGGCTTTTCTGCGACCTTGGTGTTTGTATCTTCGCAAACCAAGTGAACAGCACTTTCACCTTCGTCTGATTCTTCAATGCATTGCTTTAACTTAAGGATCCTCTCTTGTTTAAGACTCACAACTATATGTTTGTTGTTGACCATTCTATTAAACTTGTATGGAAAATTCAGAACATCATCGACTTGTGCGTCTAATGTTTCGTGGCGAAACGTTTCTAAAGTGACTTCCGAAGAATCGAAGATTACGGAACAAGAAACGGTCTCGTTGACATACACAAGTAGATCCGACATTGAACGCTTTTATAGCTCGCATTAGCTGACGAGCTTCCTCCCTAAAATGGGTGTAATTCGAAATAGAGCACCGAAGAGCAGTAAAATTGCTTATCAATGTCTCCAAAATGTCATTTANCATACACAAGTAGATCCGACATTGAACGCTTTTATAGCTCGCATTAGCTGACGAGCTTCCTCCCTAAAATGGGTGTAATTCGAAATAGAGCACCGAAGAGCAGTAAAATTGCTTATCAATGTCTCCAAAATGTCATTTAAACTAACTTCAGGGCCGTCATCTTCCTCGGTTTCTACACTCTCCACCAAAACTTGTTCAATTACTTCTTTGCGGGAGAAACGTCCTCTTCTGGCGGCCATTTTTTGGGGGAAGACCGCTGGTGTGACCACAGTAACTAAATGACGACTTTTTGAGACAGCTGACCTGGCGCGCAGTCTCACTTCCACTCTACCTTTGTTGTTTCTGAGCGTAAATAAACAGCAGTAGCATAGGCCTTGTTTGATGCATCACTAAAAGCATGAATCTGAATACAGATTAATGTGGAAGTAGAAGTAAAATAACGAGGTATGTTCACACCATTCAATTGTATCAAGCCAGACACAAAGTCCTTCCACATTCGTTCATGATTCCCTTGCAATTCAACATCCCAGTCTACCTTCTCCACACAGACACTGACATTTCATTGTGATAGTGAACGGCCTCAAAAGTCCCAAAGGATCAAACAATTTGGCTGTTAACTGAAGCAGTGATCTCTTGGTGGCTTGCATTTTGTTTGCAGACTTAATCAGCTCAGTAAAGTCGAATGATATTTCCTCTGTTGCAGTGTTCCAAAAAATCCCTAGAGTCTTGACTGGTGCATCTGCTGTTCGGGTTGGTCCAACAGTGGACTTGATAAAAGATTCGTCTTCTTCCTCGACCACTGCATTTGGCTTTTGAGTTTTCGTTTATGCTACACTTTCCTCCTTGTTGTTGATGAGCTGAAGCAGTACACTAGAAGTTGAGTTTCATTTTCGTAAGTTAAAGGTTCTTTTCACCATCAGTTCCTTTGATTCTTGGTAAAATTCAAATCCTTCTTGAACATTAAAAGTGGGAAAGTGGTAAGTTAAAGACTGATAACTGCGAATAGAACTCCGACGTTTCAGCAATGCTGCCTTCATCAGGGGAAATATATGAGTTTGTTATAGCGGTAAAGTTTAAAATTTGAAAATGCGTTCGTAAAAACAAGCGAGTGTGCGCACACGCAAGTCACGTGAAAGAGAAATTCTGATTGAGTCCAACCGGTGTGAGGGTGCCAAAATTATAAATAAAGCGCATCTGCTCGTGTCTTCTTTTGTCTATTACAAGGAAAAGTGCCTATCTGACATTGGAGAACCTGTGGTAAGGAGCTATGAACGAGAAAGCTTTAAGTGGCGGTTTGACCTTAACTGCTCTGACCACATTACCACTACATAAGGGCAGATCAAAATCTCAGGATTTTTCCATGCCACGAATGCCCTGGAGTCGTTTACATAGGAGAGACAGGCCATAGACTTAGCGACCATTTTTGGGAGCACCGGTTGGACGTCATTAAGAAGAAAGTGGCCTTGCCCATTTTGCGGGAATGGACCACCAGCTGGAGGACATGTAAGTAGCTGTGATTAGATCTGGTCTACCCGAACAAGACAAAAAAGGACGCGAGGAGATGCGCTTTATTCATAATTTTGGCGCCCTTGCTCCAGGTGGACTCAATCGAGGATTCTCTTCCAAGTGACTTGTGTACACGTACACGCTAGTTTTTTTTTGCGCACGCATTTTCAAATTTTCTCTCTGGGCATCCAAGTGATGTGTCAAAGTGGCTCCTAGAATGGATGGCGAAGGCCTCAGCCTCTGAACTCAATGAATCGAGACAAAAATCGTCATATTCCCAGTACGAAAAGACAGCATTCTTTGATTTATATGCATTGTACAATATTTAAGGGAATCTCTAACTTTATGGAAAGACATATGGAATCAAAGCTTAGCGAGCTGAACACTGCTGCTTTCGCCGTAGTTTGCACTTTGCCGTCGATCAACTTAACTCCGTTTTTCTGCCCCCTACGGTCAGTACTCGACCCAGTACTCCAGACATGGGCAGCACATATCCAACCGAACTCGGTAGTACATAGTCGCTGTATTGTAAAGTCCCTGTTATGTATGTGGCCGCAGTGTACATTTGAAGTTAAATCTTGCAATATAATCACCCCTTATAGCTTATAGGTGGGAACTCTTACAGTGACCACACCATTTAACTGCGAGGGACAACAGCTGGCTGGTACTTCAAAAAGGTCTATGTTAATTTGTGCAAATTCAAAAAGCCAAGAAAACTTTGATTTCCCTTGGACAATTATATTTTGTGATGACCAGCCAGATAAAAGAGTAACTTGCAACAAAACATTGTTTCATCTGCCAATCTGACTGGCCCAGTACGCTCTCATGGTCATCACTTCAGGTTCAAAGATTTGCACATTATATCCATGGCATAAATTTTGAATCTGCTACATTTTTTAGTTACTCACTTTATCTAAATAATAACACTTACCATAAAAATGTTTATGAAATAACATGAGCTTCTCAGAATGACAAAATGGCAGATGTTTCCCTCTTTCTTAGCTAACACGCATTTCAACTACAACTTCATTTCTGCCAAATGCAAAGCCTACCTTGATGACCTCTTAGATAGAAAGTCATGCAATGTATGCTCCTTCAAAAAACATAAATGCACCCTTTGCAGATCCAGGATATTCAGGATGGAATATGTAGTAAATACCATCTAAAAAACTACAGCCGTTGCAAAGCAATTTGCAGAAAGTTCCATAAAACTCTCTTATTGCTTTGCATAAGGAGGACCTATTTTCCTGGATGGACCATCAAATAAGGTAAAGACAATGGTGCTTTTGCTCTTACACCTTTAAAGGAGGTATCATCCTGTAAAAGAACACATCAACAAAACAAATTTGCTAAGGTTTGTGCAAGTCATTGCTAGTTAATGGCTTCAAAGTGTCCCTTTCATTGTACTTCCTTACTTCATTCTTTCCCCTCTCAGAAATACCATAAATTGAAAAGAGATTAACTGGCACTACTTCATTCACTTTTCATTATGAGTCACCCTGTGAATGTGGATAACGTTAAACATTCACCTTGTTGCTTATTTGAAATCACTTCAGCTTCCTTCATCCTTGATATAACTTGCAAGCAAGAGCTCTCTGGAGAGCTTGCTTGCAGGCTAGCTTTCATGAAGAACTGATGTAAGACCTCATCGTTGATGCAGCACATTTCTAATAATGGTAATAGACCATTAGCCTTGTACCTAGGCCAGTTTGTGTTTGCGAGTGATCAGAGGAAGCTTGGAACTGAGCACGATAGCACAAGGCCAGGCAAAACTAGCAAAAAAGTCCCGATCAGCGAGAAAATTCTCATGCTTGGTGTGAAAAAGTTTTAAAAATTGATCCATAAATGCTTTAGATTTCTGATTAAACTGGTCAATACTGTGGTTAAGATAAGATGAACTTAGCATGCCTGTTATGGCAAGAAATTGACTCCACAACTGTGAAATTTCAGCAGATTTGCTGTGATTGGGTTTGTTGGAATTAGGAGAGGGTATTCACAGCAATTCACTATTAATAACTCACAAAGGCGGGTTTTCGCTATGCTTGCAAAGGTGGGTTTCACAAGGCATGTCTTTTTACTCGGACTGGCCGGAAATCTAAACAAACGGGATAAAATAAATCAAGAATGTTCAATGTTTGCTCTCCTGTTCGTTATCAAGTTAATGTCCCGCATTGTTCATAATCCATCATAATTTCTTGCATGTGTAAAGCAGCCGCAGTGGCAGCATCTCTCCGTAGTTTGATGATAATCTCAGGGGCAGCTGGGTTAAGAGTGGATCTTGCCTTCCTTAACACAAGCTAGTTCCAGAGGGTAGAGATGCTGGATTGCACACTCGAGAGATTCTTTGCTCCACTTGAGACTCGCGGCTCTCATGATACCATCCATCCCCTTGATGAGGTCAGTAACAACTGCCAGTTTCCAGTGGTTTCTGTTCTTGGAGCTGTCTCCGATGATGAGGACATCTCCGACTTTAGGATGCAATGTTTGCTTTCCTCCAGCTTGTCAGTGCTGCTCTCGTAAACTTCTCACATACTCAGACGTCCACCGCTTCCACATTGCTTCTGTGCACTTAAGTAAGAATTTTGCACGCTTCCTCAAATCTTTGTCGGGTAATTGGTGTGCTGGTAATTCAGGCAAATAGCTTGGGTTCATGTGTAGCATTGAATTCTGCGTCAGCACTGGCAGTTCGCTGTCACCTTTAAGGTTTTAAGGTAAGTCAAGGGACGATTGTTTAACTTTACTTCTACATCAAGCACTACTTCTTCTAACTCTCGCCACCAGAGAGTCCCATTTCCGATTGTCTTGGAAGTACAAAATGCTTAGCAGGACAAAAATATGACTGAATTATATTGAATTGGAATACTGCATGTCTGTCAAAAGACTGTGAAACAACGAAACTCGAAAACAATTGGCATGGAAAATAGATTTAATAAAATGAAATGGACTACTTAAGAAAAATGCGTTATCCACAGTAAATGCTTTGTCAAATACATATAGATTAGAAGACTTAGAATTAACGTGCACATTCAATACAACATATGAATAACATCTGGGCAGAGTTAACTCTTCACTTCTGCAAATCAGACAAAACATTTTCCACAGACAATTGCAGAGTTACACTTGTTTGACCTAAGAGCATGTGCTCTAAAAACAGAAACACATTTTTTTTCTAGCCGACCAGAACCCTTTGGAAATTCCGTATTAAACTGTAAAAACTACCCTGTAGGGTAGTTACTGCACTTAGAATGCTTGGTGGATTTTAAACCGGCACACCACCATGGCTTCAGAGGCCAAGCAAAGTTCCTGTATGTCGTTCAACTCCACAGTGCTATTGAGCCTTGGGGATGTTGACTCCTCAGTCAGTTTCTCCACGCTTTCATCCTCATCTTCAACCTGTAAATGTACGATTACAAGAAGAGATTATAAGCACTATTATCAAGCAAATTATACAAGGAACATTTCAGAAGTCAGTCATAAATTCTGTCTTAAAGGGGTAACTGTGTAGAGCCTAAGGTCATGATTTATACGTTCTTTGCATCTGTTAACTTTTAGGATCCTCAGTGTGGCTTTGTCATTAACTTACCTTTGCTCTCTTCCAAAATGAGCCAGCAGATATCTGTGCCCCTCTCTGTTTATCAGCCAATAAACAGGGTAGTGAAGCCATTATGCAACGGTTTTCAACTTCTAAAAATTGTAATGGACAAAAATAGACATAACAATCAGTAAAAGAATTTTTTGAAAATAGTATGCTTCTCATGCAATGGGACTATTTACCACTAAGATGGAATACAATTAAATTCACGTGACCTGCACCTCTACCCTTAGTGCCAAAGAATTTTCAAGCATGAATTCCAGTTTGGTCAAGTGAACAAGAGGAAAGTAATAAAACTAAGGGACTGTGACTGTCTATTTCCTGTGGTGGGTTAAAAGGAGGATTTTTGTTGCAAGAAAAAAATGCCTGTATTCACTTCTAATAAAGATTTAATTCCTTTAAAAGATTGTTTACAAAATTAACCATATACGATTAGAGTTATTGTTATCATTTAAATGTGATACTAACCTTTTTCATGTTGACTTCCTCTGCCTCCTCCATAATAGCCATGACTTTTTTGTTGTCAGAACGCCTGACAACAGTTAGAAGACTTTCTCTCCAGCCACCCTGAAATCTGCTCCTAAAAGATTTTGTTATATCAGGCTCTTGTAGGATTCTGCCCAGTTCGGCCCTGATCTGCATAGGAATAAAATGAAATAAAATTAATATCATAAGTTTATCTATTCAAATACTGTAACAGTGATCATTTACCCTTCTGAGATAACAAGGCTTCATGCCTGTACATTAGCATGAACACTGGATTCACCCTGTCTTGTTTTCTGTGGTTTACATACCACAGCAAATAATACCTTAAAAACAGCAGTCAACAAAGCAAAATAGGGTACAGTCAAACCTCCCAGTACAGACACCTCTCTGTTACGGACAGTTTCCAATGTCCCGACAAAATTCTGATATATTTTCTTAATAAAACAAACCTCAGTCTATAATACCGACTCTCTCTAATACGGAAAACTGACACTAAATCTCGACTCCAGAGAGTAAATTCATATAAACCTAACCTCTTTATTATAGACACTGCGGTGATCAGATGCAAGGCCGATTCCTGATCATGCGCAGGGTGAATTCCATCTTAAGTCTGGCTGATGAGCTATACAAAGTGATATAAAGCCCAGTCGCTTTTACCAAACAATGATTTGCAAAAGGTGTACAGAAGAACATAACCAACTTTTTGAAGGCTTCAATAACCACAGATAGCGTAAACATCTTTTCTATTGCATTTTGTACTCTGGTTACTGCTCACTACACTTGCAATATAGTGAAGGGATGCTTTCAGACTTGTGCTTTACATTACAACTTTTTACATGCAGGATTGCGCTGTAGCTCGTTTTATTTTAAAACAGTAATTTGCCTGTTGCTGAGATGTACAATGTTCTCTGCTACTGAAAGACATTGTCTTTGTGCTGTCAATTGATAACTTTAAATTCAGTGTAAGAGTGTGAGCCTGCCTGGTTTTAGCTACTGAACACTTAAAACTGTAAGTGGAGTCATAAAAGTGATGTCATCATAGACACCTCTTTTATACGGACACTTAGCTGTGTCCCTTCGGCGGCTTTACCATTAGAGAGGTTCAACTGTAGTACTAAAATATACTCTTTAGACTTGGCTTCTGCCCAGAACAATGTACAGTGGAAATGGGCTCCAGCTTACAACTAAAAACGGACTGTACCTCATTTCCTGAGCTAGAAGCAAAGTTTGGAAAATCTTCCATAATCTTCCACACTCGCACATTCTGAGATGGAACTTCTCACCTTCTTATAGGAAACGTTGAGGACATCAACTCTTTGAGAAGGCTGTAGTTCTTCTTTGACTTCCTCCACTCAGTAACAATTTGTTTCCGTTGTTCCTCGTAAGTATCATCTGTCACCCGCTCAGGAATGGCAGGGATAACAGATGATGGGTGGATTGCCCTTTTTCTCCCTGGTTTTCCTTTAGGAACTTCCTGTCCTTCCTGTATGAAAAGTTTCCTCATGTCCCTGTTTTTCTTCTTGTTTAGGTTTTCAAACCTGTCCTTGATTTTTTGGCCCAAAATGACTGCAACAAAATTGTGAAAAATGATTGTAAGTTGTAATACAATAACTATTATTCATTCAAAATAATTCTCCATTTCTGATTGGCGTAAAGTACACACATAATTCACCATAACCAGCTACTGTTGACCAAAGTTGGAAGAATTTTGCGATGAATCAACCATAAATGACATCAAAAGTGCAGCACAGTTGCCGGTTAATGGACCATTAACCAAAAAGACCTGGAGATCAGGTTGAGTTGTTTTGTTTGTACTAAAGGGAACAGAATGTCGTAGTTTCGATAATAGCCCAACAGTTCTACTGATTTTTAAAAGAATTGTGTCAATGTGGTTATTCCAAGAAAGTTTGTAGTCTATCAGAAGCCCTAAATATTTAACAAACTCTCTACGCTCTAATTGTTTATGTTTATTAGTACTAGGATCGTATAAATACAATGTAAATGACAAAGTCAGGTTTTTTAAGGTGTAAACTAAGTTTATTTGCGGTAAGCCAATTAGGCGATTTAGTCCTAAAAAAAAACAGCGTTGTAGTTGTGCAAAACAACGGCTAAGAAAGACAAAAAGCATGCTTCAAATGCAAATATGTGTTTTGTTGCTAATTAGAGAAAAAAGTGTGCTGCTCGTGCAATTAGTTTTTTTGCTAATTAGATCTATTGATCTTGATGCCATTTTCATTGCTGTCCCCGTTTAGCATTACACGATTTAATTTTTTTTGTTTGTAAGTATTATTAACCAGAGCTCCACTTTTAGCCCTGGCTAAATCTATATATTATTATACAGTGTGGATGACGTGGATGAGCGAAAAATACTAAATTTTGCGTCGATAAAGCACGAGGTACCAGCATCAAACTACATTTAACGGCATCTCATTTTGCTATGTCAATTATCTATTGGCTGGTAAATCGTTCAAATAACGCTCACTCACCGCTTTTGTTCGGGCTCATTCAGCCATCACTTTGTTTGCAAGTAAAATGAGGTCCACAATATCGATCTAAATGGAGGACAAAAGGATATCAGAGCTAAAAACATGAATTACACAAGAACAACAAAACAAAGATTCAGAGAAAGACAAAAACTAACCTTGAAATAGTTTGCTTTCTGTTATTTTGGGCGACTGAAAAATGCTCGTTCTCTCTGCACAAGAAAGATGTGATGCAAATCAATGGCAATTTTAGCTCAAAGCATCATGGAGTACTTGATTTATCCTTCTTTATCTTAGCTTTAGTAAGGTACAATGTATGAACTGTGATACTGCCACAGATGTCTCATGTCAGCTCCTTTCTCTGGGCATCTACCAGTTTTCTTTCTGCAAGTGCCTTTGTGACTGGGGGTAAAAGTAACATGATTGTAATTTGGCTATGTCCCACTAATCAACCTAAGAGGATCTACAGGTAATCCATGTCAAGTTGGATTTCCTGGGCTGGAAAAAACCATTTTCATTTACTTCAGTAAGGAAAAGAAAGTGTCTTAAGTGAATATGACAATAATTTACAAACACTGGATAGTTGCAAAACAAAAAAGCCCCTTATTCCCTTGGAAGGGAAATCGCTGAGAGGGTGGCTAAGATACCCAGCTGTGATATTGTCCCATATTTACAGTGTATGATGGCCATACATTATTCTCCTTGTGCAGGGCATCATTGCCAACAGTCACTAACGGTCAGAAATGGTGGCAAAAGTTGCATTTTACCGTAATTATTATGTGATTTTAACTACAGGGAATCATGGAAAATGCAGATTTTTCATAATTATAAAGAAAAGTTCCTGGCCTTTTTATTTCATTCAAAGGGGAATCTAAATTATAATAAAAACCTTTTGAAAACAGTCATGATTTTTCCTCAAACAACTCCTCTCCTGTGTAACATACAGTCCAAATGAGTAGAAATGCCCAGTAGACTTTAGATTTACTTTTACCATTTAGGTCTATCACTCAACACTGATTATTTAAGACTGCTATAAAAAGAAAAAAAAAATACACGATACGTGATTTACACTTGATGGAAGATGGTGATTCACTATCCAAGAGTTGTCACTTGTGCTGCTGCCAGGTGCTGAAGTTAAAAGATCAAAGTGACTGAAGGCACCTCTCACACTTATGGACTCGTGTATTTGATATTAAGAGGCAAGGAGTGGAATTGGGTCTCTTGTCTCCTCAGGAAATGGAGAGGCTTCATTCTGTACGGCCTACTGGATTTAATAATGCAAATCGTAATCCTTGGATGTTTGACCCTTTGACGGTTTGTTATACATCTTCAGGTATGCGTTTCAGGTCAAAATTTAATTCAGGTGAAAATTTTTATATGTGGTTGATTCTGTTTAACCAAAAGATATTATTTCTGAATCCAATATGCTCGTGATATTATTATCTATTTTTGACAGAGCAAGGGTAATATTGCAAGTTTGGGTGTGCATGAAATTCAAAAGCATATAGCATCATCTAGCTTTTCAAGAGCTGTTGATGTGCAAATATGAATCAATTTATCTTTATTGTTCGTTTCATACATGTATCTATTTTTTGTTTGAAGTTAAAATGAAAATAATTATTGTTTAGGAAATTTTAAATCCTGGGTTGAAAGTTAATGCTCCTGCCTCCTTCCCTTGCTGGACTTTGATTTTCCCGCCTCTTGAAGATGATCCTTGTCAACCGAGTCAACATTGTCTTCAACATCATCGTCCCATTCACTGTTTGCAAATGATGGTGGTGAGTGGTTTGAGTTTGTATTATCTTTGTCTTCAACGGTATGATCTATAACTGAAAGCATTACAGGAAAGCTCTTTCGAGAAGCCACCATATTAACTCCTTGTTGAAATCAATTGATGTTCATGCGTCAAATAAAAAAAAAAAAAAAAAAAAACGGGTTTAGACAACTTATAAATGTATTCATAATATATGAATTGAGTTTGGCACGGCAGTAGCACGACTTGGTTTCAAATGGCATGCTTCTTCACTTCCTTGGTTGCTGTCTCTGGTCGTTGTGCTAATTCGTCCTTCTTTGTTTCGTTTGTTGCTGTCTTTGGTCACTGTGCTAATTCGCCTTTTTTTGTTTCGTTCCTTGCTGCCTCTGATAGCTGTGTTCCTTCGTCCTTCTTTCTTTTGATGGCTGGTTCTTCTGGTTCCTTTTCTGATCCATTCCTTCGCTATTTCCTCTTCTTTTTTGCTCTTTTCTTTGTTTCTTGTAATAAACGTTTCACTCGTTGTTGAACTTTTGCTTGAGTGAACGTTTTCGCTTTTCATTACTAACAGATTCCATTGTTGATGGACTCCAAAGATCAAAGAAAGAAAAAATTCTGACGTGAATCATCTCCTTCCACACCAACACCCACTCATAAGAAGCCTGATAAAATGACATTTTCCTCCACATGAGGAGAGAGAGAATGGTCTTCTTCAATCGCTACAGATGAACAATTTTGCAGATTAGGATACTCAACAGATGTATTACTGTAACCGCTCATGGTGGAGGACAGCTCTAGAGAAACACTGCTTTCCTCTAAATCCAGACTAAGCGACGACTTCTCCAATGCACTCTGGATAATATCAATTTCTTCCTCATTGTCAGCTCCAGTCCTGTGATCCAACGTATTTTTCACAGATTGCACTGGCATGGGATCTTCTTCATACTGCCAAGCTGGTCCTCTGTGGAGACACAGTTATTTATGGCTAAGCTGGGAAAACATAGTCTGAAGCCAAGATGAGTAATGCTCCTCCATACCAGGTTTCTGCGTTTTGCTGCTAGCAAAGAATCGAATGTTATAATCGATTAAGCCAAAAGGCATTATGTCCAAGGGCAATCGTGTAGTTTAACCATTAAAGCATCTACTTATGTCAAGGCACCCAAACTTGCATATAGGAAATCATTGTTCACGAATGTAAAAAAAATCAATTCCATGGTCTTGCAAAACCGACAATTTAAAGATGTTCCAATAATTGAGTCCTCAGCCTTGATTAAACTGCCTGACCACCACACAAACACACTGCTCTGCACGGTTACGCGGTGAACAACTGAAAATAGGTGACAGGCAGTATCGTCCACTAGCACAGTTTTATGTAGGGTGCTTCTGGCCCTTTTCTCAAAAACGCTACTTTTGTCAAATACAACAGAGCTCTTAACACAGTCAATTTGTAGTGCCTCCTCAGCCTCTGAAACTCCTTGGCCAAGAACTTTATAATCCTGGTGCGACAGGGTTAACCTTTTGAGTCAGAAAAAGAAAAAAGGAGCAATTTTTACAAGATATCTTTTTTTTTTTTTAAAAAAAGGAAATATTGATTTTGAAACTAACAAGGTTATAGGGTAAATGAAAAAAGATATGGTGTTGAGGAAGCGATATCATCACATTGCGGATCCCATGCAGTATTACAAACAGCTGTTGCTTTTTAGAATGGCAAGAGGACAGACAGGAGGAAAAGTTTCTCTTGGAAAATTGAGAAAAGACTTGTTGCTGAAAACTTGGGACCCTCCGCCGCACCGCTGGTGAAAAAAGGAATAGATTACAGTTTATCTGAAGCATTGGCTTTTGGTAAAAAGAAATTACCAAAACATGCGGGTAAAAACGCCACGTTGAAAAGCATGTACAAAACACGGGTGCAAGCGATAAAATGGCCAATTTGATAGCCAAGAAAACGCAGCATGGGGGAAAGATGGATTTCAAAGGATTAGCCAAACAGCTGGCACCCACAGTGGCTCCTATTGCAGGTAAAGTCATCAATGCTGCTCTATAGAAAGCTTTTTCGTACGGAAGAAAACGCATTCCTCAGAAACATTGTCAAAAACTAGACTTGGTGGAACAACTCTTCAACAAGGCTAATTTGGGATGTAGAGTTTCTTCCTTGCTGCAGATAAAGATGTCAGTCGGTCGCAGAAAAAGAAGACAAAGAACTCAGAGGGGACAAGGTGCTGGGATGGCCATGGTTGCTTCTGCCATTTTACCTAGTTTATTAAATAAACTTTTATATCAAGCCATTTTTTCGGTAAGAAGGACGCTGAAAACCCTGCATTGCGTGACCAAGGGCTCTGCGTGGCAGCGCACTTGTTTGCTGAGGAGATAAACACAGAGTCGGATTTGGTTGGAGAAAATTTGGCCACCAAAGGTGACGAACTTTATTTTCAAGATCTACCAATATATAATAAACTAAATATCTCTTCAGCAAAGGTGGGGGAAAAAACCGCCAAAGAGCCACAGAGTGTGGCACCCCCACCAAGATGCCAGCAGAGCCCGTGGGCAAGTAGGTCGGGAAGTTGCAGCCCTTGCGTGACCAACTTGACCAGCCGACTAGAGAGCTATTAAAGCTTAAAACTTGAACCATTTATATTGCATTAAGAAATGATGCAGCCCCTGTCTGACCATCACTCTTTTTTTTTTGATACAGCGAAACAGACTCTGCAATAGAGAAACGCACTGCAGAGTCCTTGTATGAGATGATGCAGCCCCTGTCTGACCATCATCGCATACACACGCGGCATTGTGAAATGTTACGATTTTATAAAGTACTTCAAACACGTCATGGTGTAGCCCTATGACGTGACCACCAATTAGGTAGTTCTACATATGACAGACAAGATGCATGGCAGCCCATGTCTGACCCATGCGAAATTAAATTCCATGTAATGTAGAATTACGAATGTAAAGTTTAAAAGGCATCAGACTTCCATCGGCCAAGAGCGCGAATCTGGGCGTCAGAAAAACCTTTGTCTGCTGCGAGACAGGCCGCACCGATGCGAAAGCTGTTTCTCTTATAGCGTTAAGCATTCAAACCACAGAAATTTGAGCAGCGCCTAAGTTCAGTGTTAAATTGGTTAACCGTAATGGGTGTATTGTCTGCATGGCAGAAGAGGGGACCGGGCTTGTTACCCTGGAGATTGCAATACCGGAGTAAGAACTTGACAGGACAAAACGGTGAAGATTCATCACCAGGAATAACAATGTCAAAAGGGCGATTGCTTGTATTATGTTTGAAATGGGTGATTGTGATCTTAATAGAGTGGATTTTCCCACCGGATGAGAGGAATCGGATGTTATCGTACGAAATTACGGTAGTGTGACGCGCTCCTGGCCTGCTAGTTCACCGATGCGAAAGAAACCATAGAAAGCTGTGAGAAACATGGCTGAAAAAAGTATACGCTGTGCTGCCGAATTGTTGGTGTGCTGGAGAGTGCTTACGAGGTCATGCAAGATAGGTTTAGGTATCGGTAACCTGACATCACACGATTTCTGACGACTGAGCGAGGTCAAAAGTTTTTGAATAGGGAAAGCCTTTGTGTGTGGGGTCATGCAAACCTTTCATCTTGTGAACGTAACCAATGGCCGATAGATAAGAAAGAATAGTCGAAGGCGAAAGATTTCTACCGTCGAGAAATGAAATAGAAAGCGCCAAAGACGTGGTGGTTAACAGTAAATGAAACGCTTTTGTCCTGTAAAATTTCTCGTGAAATTCACGAAATAGTGTCCACGCTCTACGGTATGACTGACCAGAACCTGACGCCAATACAGAGCTCAAGAGACTCTCTAAGTTAGCGACCAACTCTTCGGCAAAGAAATCTCGGACACTATTGTTGGCAATTCATCTGCTTGGGGTGAAAGTTCCTTGAACCGTGCTATCTGAAATCGTGAAAGACAATCGGCCCGGGTATTATTAAGACCTGGTATATGTCGAGCACAAAAGATAATGTTATAATTGAGAGCAGTTAGAACCAAGTCACGGATCAATGTCGTAACTAATTTGTGTTTGGATGTCTGTTGATTGATAATACTGACCAGCGCAGCATTATCAGTAACAAACACGATACAACGGTTAGCCATCTGAGAACCCCAAATACGCACTGAGAGGGCAATAGGAAATAGTTCGAGAAAGGTAATATTGAAGGATTGCCACTGATCCGTAAAAGAGCCAAAGAACCAGTGAGGGCCAAAGATAGCACCATAGCCCTTTGATCCGGCCGCATCGGTATACAATTCGAGAAGAGGAGGAGATGTGTTCCACTTGTGTTGAATTAAACGGAATTCAGAGGGGTCTTTTTGGGAACAATGCCTAAAGGAGAACAAACAAAGTTTGGAAAAGGAGGGCAAATAAAAGGACCACGTATCCTCCCAGCCTCACACTCTTTACGTAGTTTGGTCCAAACGATTTGCGGTTGGTCTAAAGCGCTTTTAAGGTTGGGTGAGTGCAACGCGCAGCGTTCCCCATCAAAACCAACGCGAAAACCAAAAGTAAACCCATTAACTAAATAAAGGCGGAGAGAAGTCTCGTATCTGTTAAGAAGGAAATTAAGCGAATCCACCTTTACGGGTTTTACTGGCTTGTGCAGCGACGGTTGAAATGCCTGCTCTGACAGGGTGTGTTTTAGGTTGGCTGGAGGAACACTGTGCGGCAGGGTGTTTTGAGCCACACTTATAGCAAATGTGTTCGAAACGGCACCCGTTTCACACCTTCCCCGCATGAAAACGCCAGCATGTGCCTCTTGGAAAGGACTGGGAGTGGGAGCGCAGTGGTCCCTCATCCGAGGAAAATTGGGTTTTTGGACGAAAATTTGGAACCTGCCACCTTGGCCTGCAAACCATTATCAAATGCCTTGCCATAAAATCCCATTATGATGTCGTCATAACGGTGTCTTTTTTGATCAACTTTTTTCATTTTGTGATTATTCTTTTAAAAACAACGTGTGAAAACGTTTTAAATAAAGTGTGTTGAAATAATGAAAATGTGTCATTTTGTTGTTGTATTTCGTGATGGGGAGAAGTAAAAGAAAATTGGATATTAAGACGGATTTGGCGGTGTTTAAAGCTGTGAAGAAACAATTTGGTGGGATAAAAAAAAATTCTTCTTTTCTGAGACAGATATCAAAAAATGTGGAAAAACAATTAACAAGAAGAGCTAATAAGAAGATGAGGCGGCGGAGGTGAAGTATCATTTTCATACGGTCTGTAGATAAACAAGGGACAGCAAAAAATAATTCAACATAGCTTTGCTTATCTTCAAAAATATTATGATAAGATACAACAAAAACAGAAATTAGAAGAAGAATTTTAAAATAAGAAAAGCAAAACTTCTGGTTCTGGTAAGAAAAGGAAGAGAAACCATCTTGACAACGATTATGATGGTGACCGCTTTAAAAACAGCATTGGTGAAGAAGATGAAGAAGAATTGGGTGTAATAAGAGAAACTAAGAGAAAAATTACAAACGAAAGCTAGATTTATCCACTAAAAAAAGGCTGATATATTGGATGAGAGGGAAACATTGAAAGGCAAAAAAATCGCTTTTCGAAGAAAAAAGAAAATTGCAAGCAGTGAAAAACAAACTTTTAAAATGTCAACAAAATTTGGAAAAAGATGGCGATGCTGTTGATGACAGTGATGATTCTACCTCTTCAGAAGAGGATGAAGAAGAAGATGAAATGGATAGAATGGTGAATTATATCACCTATTTGGCAGATGGTATAAATCAGGCCAATGCAAACATCAAAGCCCAAGAAAGAATGTTGAAGACTTTTTTCAACGTCAATGTCGACGACGAATTAGAAAACAGAAGTGAAGATCTTTTGAAAGCTGACGAAGAAGCTCAGAGAAAAAGAAATACGGCATCTGAAAGAGCTTTTAACACTATCAAGAGGGTAAGCGAATTGGAGGAAGAATTAAAACAACACGATCAATTCAAATCCATCATGAAATCTATGTTTAGAATAGACACCGTCAAAACAGATAAGAAAGATGGATAAAAAAAACAAGTCCAAAACTTCAAAAAAGTCAAAGAGTGAACAACTCAAAGACAAAGAGCAAGGAGAAGAATACGGTGAAGATACGATATTGGCTAAAGGTTTGGCTAATCTAGAAGAAAAAAAGAAGAAATAAGGAGGTTTACACAATGAGTCAAAAACGCGTTCATCCAGCTCCAATAGAAGATTTAGAACTAGTGGAAGAAAAACGTTTCAAAGAAGAAGAAGAAAATAAGGTTTTGGATGAGACTTGGGGCGATGATTTTCCCATTCACATAGATCCGGAACCTCTGGCGGCTGGCGAAAATAACAAAATTTGAAGATTTGAAGTCAAATCGAGAGGGGATACATTTTTGATTCCTGCCAAACACATACGTTTGCATGTGTCTTTCATCTTAAACAGAGATGGCACGGTCGGTGCATTCGACAATCCTCACGCTGACGCCCGCCCTGACGCTGGCGACCATTACAGCCGATTCGTGAATGGGTTGAGGTACTAAGCAATAAAAAAGATTGGAGTGAAACCTGGTGGACTTCAGGACATAAAACAGGTGGACGATCATCTGAATTTGACAGAGTGGATGAAATTTTTGGCTCTTTACAACAAGTACGAAAAGAAGAACAAAACCAAACAGCAAAATGATTTTTTCGAACCCAATTTGGTTGGTTCTCCCTGGGAAGATACAGCAGTTGTAACTCTTACAGATCCAGAAATACGAGCAGTTACTAACGACAAGAAAGGGTTGGATGCAATGAGAAGGCTGGAAAAGAGACGTCACACGGAGAGAAATGGGTTGGAAAGGGATCTTTCCCCTCTTCCAGGAGAATTTTGTCAGATAAACAGTGCAACTACCAGCTTTTTCAATGGCACCATAGAGATCGAATTTGCTTCCCACCAACAGTTGATTATTGCTAAACAAGGAGCCGACACTGGAAATGGTGTGGTGGAACAGGGTCAATACAGACTCGATCGAGACAGGTGTTGCCTTGAAATAGTGTACATGCAAAAAAGCCAATCAAAATAGCTCAACAAGGCAAGATAGAGCAAGCTATTTTCGGCTAAATCTCAAGATCTTTGCTGTGCCATATGTTGGCTCAAATTTATCCCTCAAAACGACTCATTGAAAAGCTTGTTTCACGGACTGTTTATTGGTCCCATTTTAATTGGTGGGGGCGGGGCAGTATTTTCAGTAAGGAGTTTTAGTTGGAGCATAAAGATATCTGAATTAGGTTTCTCAAGGTGTGCGAAAGCTGGAAATGCTATTTGTGAGGAAGTACTCAAAAATGCAGCGGAGTTGTCCATTTGGTAATAGAGTGTAAATGTTATGAAATTTGATGTTCGAGGAGATGGTTGAAAGAAGGATACTTTATTTTGGGAAGAAGTAAGAATGACAATTCGGAGACAGTTTTCAGCGGTCGAGAAAAAAGACTTAAAAAAAAGTATAACTTTGAGTGTTTCTGTTAACATAATGTGTTCTTTCAACAAAATGGGCTATAGTAGCTTTGTTTCGTAAAATTTGGATTTCATTAACAACAACAAATAAGACAGTTTTATATATTGACCGTTTTCACACTAGAGATGGATTATCTATCAGAGGTGGATAATCCATTTTGATAATTCATCAAAATTGACAGAAAAATAGATTCAAAATTTAGACCGTTGCATTTTCAATTTCAAGATGTATTGTGTGTCTGATGTGAAGTGTGCAATGGATAACTCATTTAAAGATGCATAATCCGTCTCTAGTGTGAATAGAGTTAATATTAAGGTAAGAAATAATATAGTGAGGAAATTTTGAGGGACAAAATCAACGCAAAAATAAGAAGTACACAAGAGTTTTGTTTCTTTGAAAAAATTAAGGTTGAGTAAAAACAACAATGCCATGTGTAACAAAATGCTAACAATTATTTTAATCTTAGTTGAGATATATATAACAACATGGAGTAATTATATATGTGAGTTGTTACCAGTATTTTTAGACTTAAATTGAAACAACAACTAGTAATGAGATACAACAAGTTAGTAGGAAGTTTACTCAAGTCAGTAAAGGTTTCTTAGCCACTAAATGATTTGGAATTGATAATTGGGTGATTTTGCTTGTTAGATAAATGAAGTTAAAAGTAATAATCTATCGTCAGTTACAGTGTTTACAAGTTTTCATTTGATTTAAAAAAAGATGTCTTCTGAAAAAAATCCAACGGTTGATCGTATTATAGTTTATTTATTGTGTTAACAACAATGTGGAATGTAACTTACTGATGCGTTTTGTAATAGGTTATTGTGAATTTCAGGAATAAAGCAACGGAAAAATTTGTTAACAAAAATGTGAAACGTGTTTTGCAACATTGGCGCAAAATAAATTTACAAGAGATGTCATGTGTTCTAATTGATTGTAGTTAATAATGTTTGCGATAAATTAGGTTGTTGTGTCAGTATATAATATTATGAGGGAGTAAAATGTTATGTGATTGTGAGTGAAATTTGGAACAAATATGGGAGAATTTTTTTCATCGTAAGTTAAATGTGATTTTTTGGTGGTAGAGGAGTGAACATTGTGCTTCAATTTGTTTTGGGGCAATGTTGGAATATAAGTTGCACATTTTTGTTGTGTTGTTGTTTTTTTGTACCTGAAAACAATATTTTTGATTAGTTTGCATATGTTAATGCATTTCAGTTGTCTATTAGGATTAGGTTTTTTGGAGTTGCAAAAAGCCATTTTTTCAAAATTAAGGGAAATAGGCAACCTTTCTTGTAAGAAAGGAGTTGTATTTCCATGAGAATGAAAAATCATATCGATATAAAAGGTTGAGGAGTTAGCCTCATTTTGATAAAGAGAGCAGAAAGAATTCGGAAATAGTTTTTTGAGTACAAGGTATAATTTGCTTCGTTAATAAGGAATATTTGATTTACTAAGGACCTTTTTAAGGAATATGGAAATACAGTTCCGTTTGCTACCAAACGTAGAAAATAGAGTTTAATTTAGGTGAAGTTGAAGTAATATTTAGGGCGCATTCATTTCACCATATTAATGAATTAGGATATTGAAAGAAGTTAATTCTAAAACCATTTGTACATGTATAATTGTTCAAAGTAGGATGTTGATTTGGAATAGATGTTGCATTGGAATTGTTTAAAAATCGAAGAAATAGCGATTTATCAAAAATGTGGTGTATTTTTATTTGAGAATATGGTTAATTGGAATGGGTCTTTAGTCAGTATATTATATCAATTAATTAAAATGAAATGTTTTTGATAACATGAGAAGTATCACTGTATTGAAGTGTAAAGTTACTTAACTTGAATAGGTTTGTGTAGATATCTTTTTCTGAGGACTTGATTGAGACGGTTTCTGGGGCGTTGTCAAGCAATTCCTCTAGGATTTGGTTGAAAGCTGTCAGCCAAATAGGTTGTTGAGTTTCGTCTTGTTTGACAGCGATCCGCACAGAGGCGGCTATTGTGCATGAAGAGAGTGGTTGAGTTGCTTCACAGTTTGTGCACTTAACATATTTTTGTGAGGATGTGAGTTCTGGTAATTGTCGTGCACATTTGGAGCAGGAAAGCCAGGTTTTGAAGTTTTCAGCAAGGGTTATTTTGTCAACGTAGATGGTAGTTAGTTTAAAGAAATTGTCGAAACACTCTTCTGTCGGTGTCGGTGTCTTCTGTCTGTTCTTCTATTCCCTGGATGGTAGTGGTTGGAGTGGTAGTTAAGTATTTCATAGCGTCAAAGGATTTGACGCGAAGATTTGTTGTCATGTACGAATTGTTGTTGGTGATCTCCTTGATAGTGCTTCCCCATAGCGTCAGGCGAATGGTGCCTGTGTTGTCAGTGACAACAAAGTGGTCTAACATAGGTATAGTATCAGCTGTTTTCGTGGTAACTTCTTTGATGTGTTCAAGGGACATAGTGACAACTCCTTGTATTGACGTGATGATGTTTTCAGCTAGAGAGGGAATATTGCCAATCAAGGTGACTGTATTAGCATCATGGACTTGAGAGTTTTCGAGATACTCGAAGTCAATGTCAGTGTTGGATGCGTCTTGTATGCGAGATCGTTTGTTGACGATGAGGTCGTCTTGGGAAGGGTCGAGAAGACTACGTTTTTGTGTAACATTAGTGAGAATGGCAGGTTGTCTTGATTCTTCATATGCTATAAAGATTGGCTGTTTTTCTTTATCGTAGCAGACTGCACGGCGAATCGTGTTATCGCTCACTTGTAAGGAGAAGGTGAAGTATGGAAAGGATCTTAGTTTGCTCTTTTTGGTGGGTGAGACATTGTGAACGAAGCCCGATAACTGAAGTTGATTGGTCAACTGCGGTGTTGATTGGTCAATTGCGGTGTTATTTGTGGCGTAATTTTGAGTGTTAAGTTGTGCGTAATGAGTTAGGGTGAAATTTTTAATCACTTAAATATAACTTGAGTTGTAGTAGTTGATAGAAGTCTTTTTCGCGAATTTACGGCTTGAGAAGATGATTGAAAGTAACAGTAGTTTATCGCTGTTAGGAGGCAAAGTCCATTATGTTAATTAGGAAATGAGAGGTATTTAAAGATATTCTCACGGGAAAAACATTGGGCTAAATTTAGATATGGAAGTTACTATTTTTACTCTGAGTAGGAGATTGCACGTGATAAGGTTGTGCTCGTTTTGTGTTTGCCGATAATTACTATAATTAGTTCAGTTGATGGTATTAAACTCTCGTAGTTAATTTTGCTTTATTTCATCAGTAAGTCATTTGCACGGTGTAAGTAACTGTTGCCTACAATTCAGTGGCGTGTGTTTTTAGTTAGTAAACAAGGTTTCTAAAGTGAGTTGTCAATAGTAGTTTGTAAAATATATAACACCTGTTGCAGAGTCCCAGCCAGTTTATTTGATGTTTCGTCTTTAAATGGTGTTCAGCAATTAATGTGACTATTGATGTCACCATTTCTCATTGCTTGTTTGTGTTCAGAAAGTTGGTTTAACTTAGAATACTACACCACTGAATTGTAGTCAACAGTTACTGGCAGTGACGAAATTAAGAATCTTTTAGTTTTTCCTCTCAAAGCAAAACGTATCTTCCCAAAAAGATAATTTGAACTTTTTTTGTTGAATACATAATATTATTGTATCCTCTGAGCTAAAATTATTTGAAATATAAAATATTTTACATACCTCTTAGGGATAAGAGCCTTTTGTCTTTTCTGGATCAGTTTGCATCTTTTGCAGTTGGTGTGTTCTTGTTTATTGTGTATATAAAGAGAAAAAAAAACGATTTTTTTAAATTAAAATCACAGTTGTAGGTATAAAAAAAATTAGTTTAATTCAGAACTGTTTATTAGGAACTAATTGAATTGTATGGAGGTATTTTAGTGTGATGTAATTTGCTTCAGGTTTTAATAATCTGATTGAACTGAATTTGATAGAAATTTTGTGAGTCAGTGTTAAGTGTGCACTTGTAGGTGCCACCAAAAATTACAGAGAAGTGTTTTTCTATTGTACAAAGGGAGAGAAACCACTGTGAGCAACTGTTAACTTTTTTATTGAGTATGTGTGTGCACGTGATGTTTATGTCAAAACGTTAAGTAATGTTCCACGTAAGAAGGAGGCAAAAAACGCCTGTTCGATGCAAAATCTTCCGTTGTAATCAAAGGTGCTAATTACTTAATTAAATAACATTCGGCCTTGCTCATTGGCTGTTATGAGCTTGAGTGCGAAGTTTGAATTTGTTTCGATCCCTGAACGACCGAACGCGCGTTTTAGCGAAATATGACAAAACATGCTTTATTATAGTTGGAAAAATAGCCAGAAAGTAAAGTCTCAGGCGCATGGGATATGGGGAAGTATTTTTTCTAATTTTTTTTTCTGTAGCCCCGGGTGTTAAAAGTAACACGACACTTTGCTGTATGCCATTTGTATTGTTCTCGTTTATTGAAGGCATCAAGTTTGCCGCGCCACACGAAATCGTCATACATCAAACAGAACATACATCAAAACAGAACTAGAAATTTGTAAAGGTCTTTCCATAGATCAAGGTATGACCGTTCCGATAAAAAAAAGGGTTATTTCAGCTGAGAAGAGCTCAGCGACTTAAGGAAAGAATTCGTCAAACAGTTCCTCCTCAAAAGTTGACATCACGGATATTACGTTGTAGCCATCCTCTAGTTCCAATTGCAACTCTCCGCTTGAAAGTGACTCAAATGTTTATGAAAGAAATAACAATTCCTCCACAGGAAAGGTAAATCCATGCGCTACGATCATTTGAAGACTTTCACAGGAGCACAGGCACGCCACTGCCAAAATTGTGAAGTTGCCTTGATTACCGGAAATGTCCACGTATTCAAGACGGCTGAATGCTTTCTTTGCTTGAAAAATGGAGCTTTGCTCGAGGGAGGAACAGTTGGAGATGTCCAAGAATTCTAGGTTTTCTGCAGTACGTGACAGTTGTTCAAAATGTCGATTAGAGACTCCGGCAAACATCTTCAGCGGCACAAAGCGGTACGCATCTTCTGATCTAGAGAGATCCAATTCGTAAGGCTCTGCTTCCTTAAGATACGCTCCTCTTGAGATCACTTTCCACCATTCTTTACACACTCTAGCAGCTCTTACCAGGTCTTCAATCTCCAAGATTGATTTTAGTGATGTAACAAGATTGAACTCAATTGTTTACAATCTCATCATGATGGTAGAGCAAGAACCAAATTTCACGTGTTTTACAACATGTACTCTATTGCCAATATTTCCAGAAACGTCCTGGGTATTAGAGTAAATTCAAATACGTGTGAGATACGTGTAAATGGACAAACTCAATTTCAGTGTAAATATGCATGGATGTGGAAATGTTTTAACCAAGAAAAAAAAGTTGCAGATTCAAAAATATGTGGATACAAGTAGACTGGACTTGTAATGAAAGCTAAAATGCATAGTTATTCAGATTTTTACACTAAGAGTAGCAAGCAAAGAAATGTTTGTACTCACGACTTGAAAATTCTATCAAGTTTAGTAACTCTCTCTGCAGTGCTGTAGGGTAAA